CTGCAACCCAGTCCTGAGTCTGTACGATGGTATATGTACAACGAGCAGTGTCTCTCCCTCCTCAAATCTCCATCTCTCTCCAGTGCCCAGCTGACAATTTGCATCAGAGCACTGCACACTGCTATCATCTGCTGTGCCACATTTTACCCTATTGTCCTCAATTTTTCCCTTGTCCAGTTCCCTTAATCCATCTATTCCTTTTATCCATACATTTCCCACCTGGCTTATTTTCAGCTTTGTCTGCAGGGAAAAGTCATGCTGGTTTAACTGGCTTTGAAATCCAAGGGCTTAAACTTGTCCAAATCCCAGCATATATTTCAATTCACCTTAAAACTATCCCTGGAGTCTTGTCCACATGCCAGAAGTTGCACTGGTTTAACAGGCATCATTGAACTGGTGATGCCAGTTTGAAGATGGCTTTGTTAACCTAGATTGCCTCTGAATGTTGAGCAACACGATCTAAATCAATGCATGCCAACTTTAAACTCACTTAAGGGCATGCACACCTAGAGCTGCACCCATTTCACTATCAGGTGATTTAACGTTACTGAAATAGATACAGTTTTGTTGGCACAGCACCTGGAGTGAACTGAGATGAGCGAATTTTACACTGAAATAAGTGTGTGCAACAAAAGTTGGCACACGTGCAAATTGGTTCGGCTTCCAGTAGGCAGCCCCAGTTCTGGCTCTCCCCAGACTGCAGCTTCTTTTAAGCAGCCCACATACCTGGATGGATCCCTTAGCTGTAAGGTGGAGGACAGTGCCTCTGTGAAGGGTGTGAGAGCATATCAAGAGCGCAAGGTATGTTCAGACCAGCCTCAACTGGCAGGTAAATGGGTCTGGAATTAGCTACTTTTCAGAGACGCCTGAACTTTAATTCCCACGGGTACTTGCAGGAGCTCTAACATTTTCTTGGAGGAAAAGGTTGTTACTGAGATTATTGACCTTAAGGGCAGAGTTGCAGTAGGTTAGAATCATAAAAAACGATTCCATTTTCCATCTGGATTATCAAGGCTCCCAGCAAAGTCTTCCCACCTTTTTTTTCCTCTGTTAACAGGAATTTTTAAGGTCATGGTGCCTGGTTGCTGCACATTATCAAGTAATTTGCACAATATATTTCTTCCCTCTGTGTATCCTCAACTGATAATCTATCAAATGCCAGAGCGTTAACAGAAGGTTTTAGCCCTGGGTGCGCACTGTGTAGGCAGCAAAGCTGAACTCCTCTTGAAAGAAGGGAGATGGGAGCAGCAAGACAGAAAAGAGAGATTCACAAGATGGCATGGAAAAGGAGGGGAGGTGAGAGGTATACAGAAATCAGAACAAGAAGGATGGATGGCAAAGGGATTCCTAATCAGGTACTGAATACAAGGGTCTGGAATAAAGTCTACTCCTGGGCCCCCCCACTCAGCTGGGAACATGAAACCACCGGCTTTAGGATTTGAAAGATCCCCAACTCAGTTTTTGGCTCTGCTGCAGCATCCTATGTGACACCTTAGGCAAGCCCAGTGGAGCCAGGATTTCTTAGCAGCCAATTTTCTTAAAGGATCTCAGCTCCTGCTTGGGCTAGGGCTCAGCCTTCTGCACTCTTTTGACCATCGAGCCCTACCATCTGCATCTGTGCCTCTGCTTCCCCCCGTGAGAAAACAGAGATCATAATCCTTCCTTTCTCCTGATCTGTTCAGAGCAAATTGTTTGCTTTCTGTGCAGAGGGCTTGGTCCCTTTGCCAGCTCTGAACTCCAGCACGAGGTCCCTGTCCTTGTACTTCCATAGAAGGCTCTCGCTTCAGTGCCAAGGGGGCCAGTGTTGGTCTATCCCAAACATCCCGAGAACTAGCCACTCAGCTGGAATTAAAACGGAGACGCTCTATTCCTACTCTCTCCCCAGCATGGCATGAGCACACAGCTTCAACCAGCTGCACACCGGACCTTGAATTTCTTATAATGTTCCCAATTTCTTGCCGAGGCTCTATCAGATCTTGGTGGGCCCTGGCCAGAATCGAGCATGGCCAGACCCCAGGGTCTGTGTCCCTACAATAATCCCTGTGCCCATCTTGCGCTGGGCCTGGAAGATGAAGCAAGCATGATTCGAAGCACTCAGCGTTTACTTATTTTTTTTATTTTGTTAATTCCCCTCTGGGGACAGTAAATCTCTGAATCTCTAACCTGCTCATAGGCTCTGTTCTGTAGCAAGTTACAGAGAGATAAAAAGCCTGGCAAGGTAAGACTGGCCTTTGCAAATGCGCTTAGTGGAGGGAAGGGGGGTGGGGGGAAGAGATGCTTCCAACAGAGCTGCAGGTAAAACGTCGAAAACTCGGGGCCAAATTTACCCCTGAAGTTAATGGAATTATACCAGAGATGGAGGGATTTAGCCCAGTATCCTCCCCCAGGCTAGAAAACCTCCTGCTTGTTGCAAAGGCTCTAAAGAAGCTGCCACAGGGTAGGTTAAGCAGGAAGAGCTCATCATCAGGGATCCAGGAGTGTGAAGGCGCAATGCCCAGAATCGTGGGTAATGCTCCACAGCACGGGGTAGGCATAAAGCACTGCTCTCACAAAATGAAGGGAATATTAGATGTAAAACCAGACATGCAGGAGCAGCAATAAAACACAGCAAATATCACAGGCAGTGGCTAGAATTGGTGCATCCGCAACCCTTGTGGGAATCCTGGACACTTTTTTACATCGCAGTGCCCACAGATGAGCCAGCAGCGTTGCAGGAAAGAGGTCATAAGGCACATCTACATGAGACGCTAACTGCACGGTGGCCTAATAACACTGCGCTGTAGTGTGCCAGGCAAACCTGTGGTAATACACTACTGTGCAGTAGTATTAAGCTACTGTGCAGTAAGTGTCACTAAAACCTGCTGCGCAGTACCGTGACTTTCTGCGCATTGATGTAGTACTTGGTTAACCCAGTCTTAAACTTAATGTGCGGCAACTATGGCTCATTAATGAACACGTAGACATGCCCATAATCTAGCAACTTGGGCCCTAGACAGACTGTCAGAAAAGAAAGCTGTTTTCTGGTCCCAGAACTGTCACAGGCTCTCTGTGTGACCTTGGTTGTGTTACTTATTTTGCAAAATGTGGGGCAAGACCACTATCCGTCTGGTTTATTTAGAAATATTTTGGGGAAGGGATAGTATCTTACTACAGATACCAACAGCTCCCATTATAGCATGGTTCTCTGGGTGCCGCTTTAATTACAAGTGCAGAGACCCTTCTTCAGAGGCCTATGATTTGTGCAGCACCTGGTACAATGGGTTTTGGGGCTCTGTGAAGTGACAGTAGTACATGCGATGTATGTCATGGACCCACAGGCAGAAACTCTCTAGAGGATTCTCCAGCTTTTGGGGGAAACATGGCTCTGTGGATTGTTTTGCAGGCAGCAAGCATTAGGGGCTCCCTGCGACAAGCAGGAAGAAGGGAGGTACTCTGAAGTCCAAAGCACTGCATCACTTTTTCCTCTGTTGTACCATTCGGTCTTCCTCTCGATAAGCCCTTTGGTTTTTCTGTTTCTTGACCGAAGCGCCTGTGGGAAATTATGATTTCTGGGCAAATTAATAACCGGGGCATGTCCATTCAGCAGAGTAGGGGACACAGCAGCACACAGAAAACCCAGGCTGTACCTCTGCGAGAATCCTGCCGCCCAGGGTCTCGTTACCGGCAGATTGGCAGCAGGTGATCTCACCTTGCAGGTGGTGAAGCAGCTCAGAGGGCTTTACCACAAGAGGCAAAATGTCTAGCTGGTGAGCACAAAGGAGGGCTCCTCTGCCCCTGTTAGGAAGAAATGGAGCATTTACTAGAGGCTCAGGAAGAACCCAGCTCTTAATTGATATCTGAGCAAGGGCCGGCTGGGTTACTGCACAAACCTGCTGTTTGGTAAGCACCTTGTTTTCTTGACCCAGCTCAGCTGGGTTGATCTAGTTTTTGCCAGGATTGAGTGGCTCTTCACCTTTTCCTAATTAAAGTAACTCCAAGGAACCAGAAGCCAATCCATCACCTGCCCCAAACCTAGAGAAGCCCTGGGAGTAACAGCCTCTTTTATCTGCTTTCTTTTCTCTTGAGAGCTCTTTTGCTGCATGAACTATATTGCTTGCCTGGTGTGCAGCTATTGTCCTGGATTGAATTAGCTGGTCTGCAGGTTAGTTCCTTTTCTGTTGTGCTCTTTTTTGCAGGGGCATGAGGAGTTTTATTTTCTTAAAAAGTTTGCTCCTGGAGCTCAGGCACTGCCAAGCAGGGCATCTGCATTTTTGCAGCTTAGCCCAATGGAGGAGAAGTCCTGCTTCATTTGCAGGAAGAAGCTCTTTTCACAAGCAAACAGAGCTCCAAAACCAGTTTGAGGATATTTTGAGAGAATCATTTGTATAGGTTTTTAGGCCTGGAAATACTAATGCAGCTCCAACGGTGCTTCTTCCAGACCCTTGCAGATGCAGAGCTTGCACAGATAATCCTTGCTGACATGGGGGAGTGCTTCATCATATGAGTTCCAGCAGGTGCCTTGAAACAAGCTATGGAAGAACAGGGTCAGGAGCATTATGTGGCTGAAGTCGGACTACTTCTGTGAGTAAATACTAATTAATTAGAATGAAAATTCCCCTGAACCATGGACACTGTGAACACTGGCAGATGTTGAAGAGCTGAGATTCAAGAGCGTTGTAAGCATTTCCCCTCCAGAGGGCTGTTCTCCTCTCAGTTAGCATCCCCAGAAGCCTACCCCAACAGGGTGAGATAGGAAGGAAGAGGAACTACTTCTCTCTAGACTTCTTTATGTGACAAAATAAAGACAGGAAGGAGGGTAAAGGGTGAGCTCTGAGCCTGACTTTCAGAAATATAGTTGAACAATTGCAGGTCCTCGGGGAGCTTCCAGGGAATTAGTTAGATGGCTGGACGTGAATAATTAAGGATTCTGATGTGGTCAGGTAGATTAATGTCCCTCTGAAAGCTTTGGATCAATGTTGGAGGGGGAAAAAAAATAGAAGACATGCATAATTTAAAAAAACCATCAGAAACTTTGCTTGACATGATGACATTACTGATTTTTTTATGATCTTCTCAAATATACTCTATAACAGTTATTAATTTAGTATCGTTAATAGCTCATCCTTCAAATGTCAGGCAAAAACCAAGACTGCAAAATGGGATTTCTAAGGGAAATGGAAAAAAAAAAATAGTAACAGGCACCATTATGGCCCCTCTTGAGTGCTGAGCTGCTGTATTGGACTCTTCCATAAAGCTGACCGCCCAGAAGTATGTCCACACCATGCTAGGGAATGCCACAGAGAAAGTTAGCATGCTTGCTCCATGTACCTGTACCATAAATGGGTGTAGGGTCACTGCTTTCAGCATGGTGCCAAGAGCTTTTGGGCTCCAGCATGGCTTTTGGAAAGTCCAGTGCTTCGCCAAGGGCAAGTGTATCCCATCCGTCTTGGGTTATAGCATGCAGAGCAGGTGGCCTGTGAGGCACGTCTAGCATGATATTCTGAGTGTCTGCTATCCCTATCCGGTACCCAGGAGAGGCTACAGCATGGCAGAGCACCGTGTCTCCAGTGGACAGGATTGTGTCTTCAGAGTCCAGAGATCTGGGCTTTACTCTCATTTCTGCTGTATGGCAGGTGGCTTCCCTTTGCTCTCTGTTGATCTCTTTGCATGCCCCATCTATTTGGGTTTAAGCTCTTTGTCTTTCAGTGTCTGTGTAATACCTAACACAATGGTGCCTTTAGGGATTACAGTTGCAACAGTCAAAGCTAAATTCCACCTGAAGGCCTTGATTAAGCAAAGATGAGTCGATGAGACTGTGTACAGCATGTACAATTAACATCTCCTAAGCCTTTGCAGGAACCTTGAGCAAAGCCTTACCTGCCCTTAGATGGATAAATGGGGTAAAAGGGAGAAGGCAGCTACCTGCTCCATGGTCACTGCCCATATTCACACCCGTGCCCCATGATAAGGAGAAAGTACCCTGTGGTAGTGTTGGGGAAAGAAAAGTGAGCTGACTCCTGACTGTATTGCCCTGCTCTGCTCCCCAAATGGCTGCATTTCAGTGCTGGAGGAAGGGGTGGGCATCAAGAAAGGTCTCAGATGAAAGGCTCTGTTTAAATATAAGGCATCAGGCTGACTTATTAAAGCCGTTTCAGGTGGAGAAAATTTTTTTTCCTAACCCTGAATGCAACCCCTTATCATATCACTCCTAGTAGTACCATAACCTTCTGCCTTTCAGGGACTTACCAACTGGTCTTGCATTCCCAGCCTCCTCCACCTGAGAACAGATCCATGGCATGAAGCATGCTTTTACAAGGATTAAAGTGAACAGCGGGATGGGGGGAAAGGAGGGAGGGAAAGGCATTTTGCATCAGTCCGAAATGCTATATTTTCCAGTATAATATTCATGCTGTTTCCCTTGGGAATCGGTGCTCATGAATTCATTAGGACCAAGAGGTTGCTCTCTTTGTCGGCATACAAAAACAGCCCGCTTCTGTCCAGAACATAAATTACAGTGTGGGGGAGAAAACCTTTTTATTTTTGTAATTTAATTTTCTGGCAAATAAAAAGAGATATACGTGACTGGAGCTTCAGCGCTTCAATAATATTATGCAAATAGCTTAGGCACATATTAGAGCTCTGTATTTGTGCAGTGGAGCCTGTGTGCTCACGATGGTATTGGTGTACAGGGGCACGGGGATTTGTGCTTAAGTGTCCTCCTGGTATTTTCAGAGAGGCAAATAAAGTGAAACAAATTAGATGTCTCAGCTATTAATCACTGCTCTAATATTTAAAATCAGATTTCCCACAGCTGTATGCCGGTCTCGGTTATTGAAGATTTTGGCATGGCTTGGAACTAGTGAATACCAAAGTCTTTTAGCTCCACGGAAAGATGCCTAGGGCCTGGTTCCCAACTAACATCAACGGGTGTAGTGTCATGGATGTCCATGGAACTAGGAGCTGTCCTACAGGAAGATGTGTGCATGTCTTAGATTACTTAAAGTGGGGACACAAAGACCTAATGAGAGCACCTAGACTTTCTCCCTGACGATCAGAGTTGTTCCTTGGCGTGTATTTATTTCTTATCCAGTTCAAAAGTTTCTGCAGCCAACTGGTAGAATAGCAGTATAGCCCATTCTAGAGGTTGTAGAGGCCACTTCGGGATAGTAGCCTACAAGTGCTGCCAGCGAATATCCTAGGGAATAAGAGCTAACGAAGCAATGCTATGTTTTACAACAAGCTCTAGTGGCTGAGAAACACTTTGGGGAAAAATATCCTGTTGCTCCCTGATAGCCGGTGCGCTGCAAGATAGTAGTGTTCTTCTGCTAAGCCCTAACAGAGATGTTCTTTCTGTTCAGGACAGGAACAGTTTTTGCTGTAATGCAGAAGGTCCTGTGTGTAAATCCTGTTGGCGGCGGGGAGGTTATATTTCTTATATATTGTCTCATCCGCTCGCATTAGATGCCCTTTAGCCAAGTTAAAATTAAATAATAATCATCTTTTAACCTTATCTCTTAAATCAGCCCGTCAGCCCCCTGGGCCTTTTTCACACTGCCTCCAATTTGTCACTCCTGTTACTCAGAAATGAATCCAATGATAAATAATAATATAGGAGTGCTTGCTGTGGCACGGAGCAGACAAGGTCTAGTGCATCCCATGAACTGCGATGTTACTAATGTGGTAGCATTATGCATACATAGGGCAGACACTTATACAGGGTGGTTACCTGCAGTGAACCGCCTGATCCATGAAGATGCAATATGTTTGCAGTTCTTGTCACCCAGCTTCTGTAACAGAATGAGCTCAATCATGCTGCACCATTACAGACTCCTTGGTGCCTCATGGAGGAAAGGGGGGCAACAAATCAAGTGGGTAGCATCCTGCTTAGCTGAACAACTGGAAGAGTGCTAGCAGGTGGGAGGATGCAAAGCTCTCTCTCTCTCTCTCTTCCATACCTAGAACTTGCCTCTACTTTTCTGAACTATTGACTTTCCCCTCATTAGCTGGGAATATTAGTTGGAGGGCTGAAACAAAAAGTTGGGGGGGTCCTATTCTGGAACCTGTTTCTAATTCCTTGACCCAAATATAATGGCCAAGTACAGGCAGGCAAAAATCCTGGGGCTAAATCGATTCATTCTTTGCAGGTTAGTCTAAGCCAGTGTTTCTCAACCTTTTAAGTAGCAAATACCCCCTAACTTCTGAAAATTTCCAAAAGTACCCCTACACTCAATTTTCCAGGGGATTTTATATTTGCAGACTAATGTATGCCATATGTTGGAAGAAGGGCTGGGCATAGAAGGCCGTGATATGACAGATGTCTGATCTGCTGTGGGTAGGGTTGCCACCTCTTACACCAGGGGTGCACAACTCAAGTATGTACCTGCGCTAGAGGTGATGTTGGCCGAAGTTAGGAGGGCTCAACCCAGTGCCGTGTAAAGCGCAGCACACCAAGTTATTACTGCGGAATTTAAAGTGCTGAGCAATGCCCGGCACACCAATTTTTTTGCCCTAGTTTTGAGAGGAAAAGAGGGTGAGAGAGAGAGTGTTGGGGTACCCGCATACCCCCTGCCTGTGTTTTGCATACCCCCAGGGGTATTCATGCCACAGGCTGAGAAACTATAGTCTAAGCTGCATATATTGAACCAATAAAGAAGTAAACAGACATTCACTTTTGATTCCAGAAATGCAGCCACATGCCTGCCGTGGCCCAAGCTAAAAGGAAAGAGAATCCCCCGCTCTGCTCTCGGACTAGTCAGTGCACAAATAGTCCAAGAGCGGCACCATCTTCATTATAAGTGCTGGCACGGACTGCAGTCTCTCCATAGTGCACATAGGCTAGGGAAATGATCACTCCATCATCTTGGGCAGCCCTCCCTCAGATGAGCATTTCAGGCTGGTGCCTAGCAATTTTCCACTTGAAGCACAGTAGCCTAATTGCCTGCACCATCTAATTGTTGAGTAATTGTGAGGATGTTTCTAATTTGCTGGGAGCTAGGTCTGTTTTTGAAGAGATTTCCTGTGTTTCGGAGAGTGCCAAGTCACTCCCACCTGCCCTTGCTGTGCCTTCGTGATGAGAAGTCTCTTCACTAATCAGGGGTGTTTGGAGTGGAAGTGGAAGGGGGTGCTGAGCAGATGGCAAACAGGGCTGGAGGATTCGGTGCATCCTTTAAGGGCAGCTCGGGGAGCTTCTTCTCCAGCCTTTCCTTTTCGTTATGTGCAAACCTGCAGAGCCGCCTTCCACGTCCTTGTCTCTGCCAACTAGCGGCCATATGCTAGAGAAGTCGTCGCCAACCAAGCATAGTGTCTCATTCAGCTGCCAGACTTGCTCTGTTTTGCTATGTTGGGGTCTAGAACCAGGTGCCACAAGCAGGATGGGTAGGAGTGTTGCTGTGTATCTCGCAGCTAGAAAACGGACCTGACAGTGGGGGTATTATTCTGTAAGCTGACTAATAGCTCAAAAATATACCGCATTGGAGGAACAGGGAGGTGGCAAAGTCACCGGTTCCACAGTTCTGGCATGTCCTGAACGAGGCTGCTTGTGCAACAAGTTGAAAGATCCTGCTCGTTGCACTGGGTCAAAC